GACCGTTTGTGACGGGATTTAAAACGTGCCTTAAACGTATCGATAACATTAAAGGTACTTATTTCAATCCTCCTTAAGATAAGAATAATACTGATAGTACGATTGTAACATGTGTCTACTTATTTCTCCAATCATATCAAAATGCTTTACAATGATTCATTCATGCAGTGCCCAAACTTAAGCAGTATATCTACTCTATAAGATATATTCATGATTTGATAAGTCAACGATGAAATTCTCTTTACTTGAAAACACTTAATAAAACATTAGCACTATAAACAAGAGATTTTCTGAAATTCTTTAATTTAAATTTAGAACCAGTTTCATTACTACAAATGATCGGAAGAGACTTTTTACAAACTTACTCTACCTTTATATCGAGTGTATTTATAGGTTTTAGCAGTTTATTAGAAATACAATTATCCGAAACCAAAAGAGCTGACTAAACAGGGCTTTCAAGTCAAATTAACAGTTTAACAATTAATCCTTGAGTGGGCCTTGCATATCTGAAATAACTGGAGTTCAAAGCGATTAAAAGTGAACAATAGCATGTGATAGAAGAACACAGGAAGTAAATGCTTCCCTCATTATATCTCCACTGATCTACCAAGTCTGATCCTATCTTTAGTCTTACTCTAAAGTAATTGAAAGTTCAGTGAAAAAAATCAATGTGAAATTCAATCAATTCCTGTCACCGTTTATGACCAACTTAAATGTTAAAACATTCTTTAGTTCCAATTAAGGTTGTCACTGCAATTTTTGTTAACATTCATTTGACTAAATAGTTGAAAAAGAAAACGTATGTTTAACACCGACCAAAAACAAAACTTAATTGAAATAATAATACGAAAAGAACACTAATAATGATGAGAAAGGCGATGCTGATAATGACGATGATAATGATAATAGCGATGATGATAATCACGATAATGACAATGGCGATAATAAGAATGATCATTACCATAAATATGCCATTGATGATTCTAGAAAAGAGGGAGAGAGAAGAGAGATGATTCTGGTAATAAGAATGACAAGTATTATATAGCACTTATCTGAAATTTGAACAGAATAAGAAATCTTATCTGTTATCGTGAAAATCGTGCTGGCAATTTCACAAGCAAGACAGAAAACTGTAAAACAGAACATAAACATCTAGAAAGCACCATGGAAAGATTGGATTTTGAGTAAATCTACCGGAATATATACAGTATTTATTGAATCGTTATTTATTTAGATTTGATTTCCTGCCTGTCTGCCTGTATATTAAACTTCTATGATAATATGTATCACTTACATTTAATGCTCGTAGCGACTAGTTCCATTTGAAAATATATCTTCATTTATTGCGCATAAAATCTTGCGCATTTTTTTTTTCATTTGGAGAACATCTACTCAATTTACGATTTCAAGGTATAAACTTTACGTTTTACGTTAAGACAGTGCAAATTTAGTTGGCGTAATCTGCATGCGAAAATTAGAAGATGAAAAAGGGACATAAATTCTTGTCAGCCGCCCTCAGATGATAATCTTCACCAACAGGTGTTCATAATATACCTTTAGTATAATTATATACGAGAAAATATACATTATTATTTATTAATACACGGTTATAGTTATCTCTTAATTTCCGTGCGGTTTCGCTGCTGTTTTTGCATTAGCAAATAACGACCAAATTCTAGAAATATTTTCATTTTCAACTGTCTCTCTCAGTTGGAAAAAAGTGAGTTTTTGTAAAGCCAAGAAAATATTGTCATGTATTTAAGAACTAGTGCTTTTATTTAAAGTTGATTTAAAGGAAGAACGAACAACAACACATATTTAGTTCGGGGTATTGAATAAGTATTACTTATTTGTCTACAATATCATGGTGGAGAACATGATTGGAATATATTGCTAAAATTTAGATACACTCGATTTCCTTAAATAAAATATTTGTTTGTCATGAATTTAAGCGAGGTATGCCTAAAGTGACACAATTTATATTGTTATATAAATAAAGGTTATTTGACGAAGTGATAAACAAACGTATTATGAAAAAAACATTAATCTGTAATAATATAACCCTCTATATAGAAACTATCTCTTTACAGCGAAGAGTTTTATTTTTCTTATGCGCTGTTGCAATTTACAGTAATAAATATATTTTACCACAAAAAACACAAGATTTAGATAAATATTGTGCAGTTTTCAAATACCATTTAAAGTCAAACACCGAAAAGAGTAGCAAAATAATGGGACCAGTAAGAAGAAGTTGTAAAATCTACCCTCACCGACTGTTTATTTCCCGTATCTGTAGTAATCAGCGATTGAAAATACCCCTTCGAGCTACACTCATAATCTTTCCTAATCATAACCACTTATTGTAAAAATTCATTCAAAAGCTACCTAAATTATTTTGTATAATGTTGTACATCTTATATAAAATACACGATTTTCAAGTGGAAGTTTTGTTTGCACAAGATACTATGAAATTTGGGAACCTATCATTTTGCATCATTCAAGAACTATCTATGTAGGAAACGAACATTTAACAGATTTCAATTGAAATTCAACTCCGCGGTTTATCACAGCATATAATTACGATTCATACCATGCTACAGTTTACACATAATTACAAGCAAAAATATACAAAAAATCGTCCTAAAACTCGCTGTGGCTAAACATTATGACTGGCGAGGTACGGCCGGGAGAACACTACAGTGTTTAATAGACCCCTTGTAAGATATTAGAATCTCGCATGCAATTTCATGACAAAAGCTATTAAACTACAGTTAGAAATATCGACACGACAAGATTGTTTTGGGGGGTAAATACCAGTTTAGTTCAGGTATTTTTAAAACCTTTGACTCCACTGGCAAATGTGATAGAAATCTTTATATTATATTTAAAAATACGTTGTAGAATGTCAAGGGCAAGGCACGTAACGTTTTTATTCTTTATCTATATTCAAGTTCACTCTGAATCGCGAAATATAATACCATATATACCAATAATTTGAAAATGAAGAAACCAATTGTGTATCAATAATTTATCGTACTGTCTTTAATAAATATAACAAATACAGAATGTTTATGTAGCTATGACAATATCAGATGGTTGGTATCAATTCACGTGGCCGCCGGTTTCAACTTGTCAGATAAACTGCCCCCTGGCCGCCACTCGAATAACTGACAAAAACTGACCAATAAATCTCACTTGAAACCAATACTGTAAATAAAATCTGTATATGTCGTCCTAAACTGTAAAAACTTACAAAAGAACCAATACTTTCGATGAAACTGTGCCGTTACATACCGGACCTTTAGACCCCCCTTCCTTTTCTGATTTCTTTCATCTTACATAATCCGGACTTAAAATTTTTATATCCAAACGGTTTATGATTAACTTTATGATTTATGTGATTTGAACGCTTGCTAATTTCTAAATATAGAAGAAAAAATCATCAAAACTTGCATCTCATTTCGAAATAATATTATACAAAGCGGGAAAAGGCAAGCCACTGTTTAGATGTTTTATCAGCCATGTTAATGAATGATATACTACAAAAGTATTTAACCTTCGCAACACGTCTACTAGAAAAGCAAGAGTTTGATATATTTATATTAATTTTGTCAAATCTTGTGGTGAACACCTGTCGTGGACGTATTCAAAATTAAACGAGCATAATTTTACTGTTTTATGTTTATTACATACTTTATACGTGTGTAACAAATGGACTACGGCAAAAGGGTTTTGAAGTTTTCATAAATGGCCGAAATACTGAATGTAATAAGCTTACGGGATGAGATGTTTTGTATACTGAATGAAAACGTCAAAGTAATGCTCAATAAAGTTTTACTGGAGAAGAAGATGAAATATCTTGTATGATCTAGTGAAGAGAAAATGTATGTCACAATTTTAATCAAGGGCAGATAATTTAATAAATAAAATGAAAAGTCCAATTAAGTCAAAAGGAAAACGATTCTATATATAAGATTGAGTCATATGGTGCTTTAAATACTAGATTAAAAGTCATAGAGCAGACACTTTTATAATTATTTTATATTGAGTCATTTGGGGACAAGGTAAAGAAATTTTTACTTGCATGTAGTAAATGAAATGTCACAATTAAACAATGTCAAGTAAGTTACATATGCAAAGCAAAAATGTCACATTCAAAAAAATGTCACGTGCAAAAATGTCACGTCCAAAACAAGAAAATGAAGGTTTTATGCAGTGAAAAGAAGACAGTGTCGTATTAAAGAAGAGAAGGAACATTTTATACGTTGAATGAAAACGTCACATTTAAATGGGCGCTTAACTTGTTACAGTGTCAAGATGTTTGATTTATAACAATAAATGTCACAATAAACCCTACCGAGAAGACATAATTAAACATGCTAAAATACATTTGAATGCCTTTGGAGTGATTGTTAAGATATCAGTATGAATTTGTTGATTACTTGTTTTTTTTTTGTTTAAAGAATGTCTTCTCTTGTATTACCACCAGATACCTAAACTGAAGTGAACGTTGATGGTTAAATCTTAGAGAAAAGTTGGCATGCTAATCACATTGTGAACTTTACTAAGATTCACAATGGAATTGTTGATGCATGAATGTATGCTTTGATTTATTGTTAATGTCTTTAAATACCTTGTGTTTTTATTAATGTAAAGTATTTTCTCCGAAACCTGTATGACAGCAAAACTGCCAGCTTACGTGTGTAACATGAATAACGATTTTATTTAAATGTATGTAATTCTTAAGGGGGTTTACGGAATCATATTTATGACATGTACTTGTGTTTTAAAGTGAAATATCTCGTTTTCGTAATAGATCTTTCAATCAAATGATTAAGCGCAAGGCATTAGCCCAAACCTTCCTCACCATTAACGAAAACATTATATAATATAAGAAATGTACAACATGTTTGGTATTTAGTTGTTGTCTTACTTTTTGTTGAGAGCATGATGAAAGATGAATGACAGGACCGGTGTGAATCAGTAAGTCGAATACTTACGCTGCTATCTGTTGTCAGTCCCGTGCCGCACGGGTAATTCTCTCCTCAACATTGTTTGCCCTAGCCCATGGACACAATGTAACTTCCTGTATATTTCAACATCAAAGAAAAGTAAGTTAATATATATCCGAAAAATATGCTGTAATCCTTTCTTTAACTGTCGATGCCCGTTTAAAAAAATCCAACTGCCTTTTGTTGAATAAAATCCACAAATAGATTAAATAAGATGTTTTACTTTGTTGTTTAAAGCTTCTCTATAACAGTAAATAAAGCAGAAAATCTTTATAAGAATATATTTTTATACACAAATATTTCTTGTTTTGTATATTACGAATTGAATATGTTTACAATCAACCATGTTTAAAACGCTTTTTAGCTTTTTAACTTCGGTTCACGACTCAATAAATCCAATAATTCACGAAACTTTGTTAAGTATTAAAGTAGATAATATATTTAAATCCAAGTTGAAACTTTCAATTAGGTTTCAATGAAGTAGAGTGTATAATGATATTACATTTGCTTGTCTATCGGCCGTTTAGTATACGACTATGAAAGCTTATCTCTAGTAAAGCTTAAAGTAAAGAAGTGATCACAGTCAGCAGGCCTTCCATTGGTTAGTTGAACGGTCTACGGGACGCCCACCAGTTATACACCTGAAGACTTTATCAAATGCGATCAGGACTATCGTGTATTAAAAATACGATGCGATATAAGCGTAGAGTTAACGTGAATAATATCAAAATGCTAAACCTATTTTTATATAAAAATTGATCATAACATTAAAATATTGTCATTACTTGTAAAAGTTTAAAACTGAAATAAATTGATTTTAAAACGTGTGTGCGAAGCGTGGTTGAAATTTAGAAATATCGTATACTACTATCTCTGTTAAAATATATTATCTGGCGCGCGCTGTAACAGAAATTCTATGACATAATCTTAAGAATGCATGGTACTGTTTATTAAGCACGTAATTCTCGCGGAATAATCGCTGCAACAGCGCGTTCATTTTTTTTATGCCGTAAAAGAGTCGCAGAATCTACGATTATTGTTTTTATAAAATAAATAAACTGCTATAACATTTAAAGTATAATTTAGTTTGGTTTTAAGATTTATATCATTTTATGAAAGTCTGCTTTGCTTTCTTTAAAAAGTAAATCTTTGGTTGTTACCAACAGACTTTTCGCAAAAAAATCAAAAATCCAAGTTCCTATGGAAAACATTTTCATTTAAGGTCATTCTCTTGGTTAAAAACAAACCGGAACAAAACATATCTGCACATATTGCACCTGCACTGCTTGCTTTGAGGTTACAGGTTCGAGATTGTACCGGCAATATCCTCGTGCCCTGTTGACAAATCTCACTTAACGCGTAAATGACGTTATAAACCTGAAGGTATCTTGATACTCAAGTTAAATAAATAAATGTTAACTAATATATACAGGTGTTTGTCTCTCGTATGCTAATCGACAAAACGTACCTAAATTGCGGCTCAGATTTATTAAAGCGTTCAGTAATTTCTTACTGTAACGCTACTCTTTTTGACAATTTGCATTTATAGACAAATCACATTCACGGAGTAAAGGGACAAAATGATATATGTCAGCAGTAATAAAACAAATATCTATGCTAAGGCAATGTGCCTACTACCACGGAAGTTTTCTTCTGAGTCGGTGTAACACCCAGGTGTTTAAGTAGGAATGCTCGTTTTAGTTTAGTTAACCTCGTGACTGCGGTTCAAGTAGAAATGTCACTTGGGACGATCTTCAATCAATTTATATCCATTAATAAAGTGTTCTTAAAGGTGTTAGATATCTCATCTGCTAAATAATGCCTTTTATTGGTAGCTCATTTCACTTGTATAGCGAAATAAACACTTGAGGAATGGGGTTTGTTTTCAATGATAACACAGAACAAGTTGAACAGAACAACTTGTGCGCTATAACAAAAGTCAACTGTTAAAAAAAACTAATAAAACAAAAACCAACAATGTTAGCAACTTTTTATTTACAATTCAAGTAACTTTTTGTTTATTTAATTTTTAATTGTATGAATGGAATACAACTTGGCATCCCCAGTAAATATAGCTTCATAAATAAACGATGTGGTAATATATATAATTGCCGGTGTAGGTTCTGGTTCATATGCGCAGAAATATAACTATTCAGGACTTGCATTCATATATAATGATGAAAAAAAATACATTGACTGGTAAAGAAAATCTGGAACTTGAAATCGTAAGTCCCAGAGTAAATTGATCAAATTGTTTTTATGAAAATAAGGTTAATAAGTGATCATTTTCCCCTGTGTTAAGGTATACCCATTGTTTTTAATATTTTAAGTGCTATTAATCAAGCATTACAGCTCTGTATATAATAATTAGTAGAACACAATTTTGGAGACAGAAATGTGCCATTAAGCGTGTATTTTAACAGTCAATTTTGCTAAATTTGTGCTGCGGCTCCAGAGAGGGGCTGTAGGTGGCCATTTATCTCGAGTCACGTGCCGACAGACATGTACATTACTCATTAAGTCATCAATGTTATGTTGTAGAAAAGCAGTAAAGAGGAATTCATCATTGTCATTATTGAAACTATCAAGTGTTATGTCATCTGTGTCATCTGTCTTTCTAAAACAGTTGTCAATCACCGTTGTTGACAGCTGGCCTCGTGTAATATGTCCAAAGGCCCTTGGCCCTGACAGACCTCGTCAACCACCTTGTCAATCAATGGTCAATTAATTTAATTAAGTATATTCGTTAATTGTTGTTTATTGTAACAGGCCTAATTAATTATAAAGCAGGGCCCATTTCTCTCTGGATATATCTTGTTTACATTGCGGTTAAGACATTTTCGCTGATGAGAACGTGCAACAAATTTTTGTAACAAACTTTACCCCCTGCAAACGAATTGTAATTTGTTACAGGGAAAAGCTTAATTACTGTTTAATAATTATTAACATTCTCTGAATTCTTGAAATGGTATGCGGAGACATGTTGAGTGTTAATGTAAAGACGTCAATACCAGAAAAAAATCAACTTCATGTTTAGGAGAGGATGGATTATCCATAGAAACTAACATATGTACACACCTGCAGTACATTCTATAACAGTTGAAATGTTTGTAAATATGTACTTATCTTTTCCTTTCTTAATATAAATGCAAGAAAAACAATGGTAGTGAAAAGTCACCCTGACCTACACCGCCCTGAACGAGCAACTACTCTTTAACATATGCTAAAATACCCTTTGCTTTGAGGAAGATTTAATCATCAGCAAGGATGAGTATTTTATAGAAAAGGCGATGACTTCGGTTTCATTTTACGATCGTGGACGTTACACACAAGTACAACTCTACAGTATTTTATCACCGTATTATTACTTGATCCTCCTTCAGTTTGACTTAACATGTTATTGTTAAACACTCTAACAAAATAGTATGCTCCCGGTAAGCTGGTGTAAGGACAACCTACGAGCAAGATTAACGGCCGTAAAAATAATTCATTCCTGATGACGGATTGAAATGCCCGGATGTCAGATTCCCGCGATTTAGCGACAAGATCCGCGGTATTTAAATACCCACACACCTGGGCAATGTCAGGTCGATTCTCATATTCCCACAAAAGGTAAAATCAAAGTTTTTGGCCACTTAAGGACTACCGTACAATTCCTGATAAATGACCTGTAATCTATTCCCCATATCTCACGTTTTAACAACATTATATTGTAAGCTTAATTGAATTTAAACTGAGTACCAGGTAGATGCTGTAATTTAATCCAAATTTATCGTTGAATGAATTTATTCAGAAAGGTAGCTAATGATTGCTTCTAAATGCTAAACATTATACACTAACCACTTCTCCAAGAGCTAATATTACCTTACTTGCAAACATCAGATACAGACTATTATTTTGACTATCAAAATATCATTAATGTGATCATGATGAAAACAATTCACCTTGCGTAGTGTTTGAACTGTAAACATATTATGTAATGCAAAGAATTTCAATTGTTCTATGTTATATACATGTACATGGTAAAAGGACTTTTTTCTTGTTTCTTACTCCTACTTCTATTCAGTGAGCAACAAATTTCTTGTTTGTGAATGAGATCATCATTTGCAGGAAATAACATCCTGCGTTCTTTTTCATGCGCACGTTTTGTAATGTTTGCGAATGAGGACATTATTTGCAGGAACTTACTTCTGGCGTTCTTTTTCGTGTGCGCATTTTGTTATATTTGTAAATGAGAAAATCATTTGCAGGAACTAACTTCCGGCGTTCCTTTTCATGCACGTGCTTTGTAATGTTTGTGAATGAGAACATCATTTGCAGGAACTAACTTCCGGCGTTCCTTTTCATGCACACGCTTTGTAATGTTTGTGACTGAGAACATCATTTGCAAGAACTAACTTCCGGCGTTGCTTTTCATGCACGCGCTTTGTAATGTTTGTGACTGAGAACATCATTTGCAGGAATTAACTTCCTGTGTTCCTTTTCATGCACGCGCTTTGTAATGTTTGTGAATGAGAACATCATTTGCAGGAACTAACTTCCGGTGTTCATTTTCATGCACGCGCTTTGTAATGTTTGTGGATGAGAACACCATTTGCAGGAACTAACTTCTAGCGTTCTTTTTCATGCACGCGCTTTGTAGTGTTTGTGAAGACAGATATCATTTGCAGGAATAATTTCCGGCGTTCTTTTTCATGTGTGCGTTTTGTCATGCTGATAAACTAATGAGGACATCATTTACAGAAACTATGGTACAGACCTAGTGCACAGGTGTTGGACCGATTTTCAAACTTCTTTTATCTCATAAACTGTCAATTAAAGCATTTGTAGTACAGCTTGGTTATCGTAAGCATACAATAGATCGAACTTGACGTTCTCGGTCAATCACAAGACTCCATTAAAATACTTAAGATGTGTAAATCGTAAATACTGCGATAGTTTTGCTGGTTGTATGGCCGATATATTCAGAAAAGACAAGTGACATCTATCGTAATTAGCTTCAGCTGTTTCTCCTTTTAAACGCATAAACTCTGTCGTGGATATGAAAATTTGTCGCCTTGGTAAATGACCAATGCGTTGTTCAAAGCACTTTTCGCATATTAGGGTAATTTCAGTATTGCATTTTGTTCTCTTCAAAGATATCACCGTTTTTGATACATTGATAGTGATTATTTGAGTATATTGTTTTTAAATAATTGATAGTAAAAAAATAATACAAATATGAACGTAAAAACGGAAACTGATCCGGTGATGTTACTGAAAAACTTTAGTAATTCGTTCAGCTATAAAACAAGTTTTGGGGAACAAAGCATATTGGTTTATTACACTCCCTTTTGTACAGTTAAGAAAGGAAGCGGAGTATTTAGGCCTATGGGCCTCAGATAAGCGAGTACAAACATTCAAACCAACATATGTTTTATATATGTCGTGCGTACTATATTATTAACGTGGATTGTTCCACTGCTGATTCAAGCTTTGCGTTGAGGAAGAAACAGGTTTGCACTGGGGACACTACTTCTCCTATGATAACTGTCCATTACAGATC